GCGCACTACCTGGTCCTGTACTGTCCCCATGACAGGGAGCTGCTCAGACCATTGTGACAGACAGGGCTTTCCCTGGCTGCCATTCACAAGTAGATGGCTAGGCTTTTCTTACTAGTCAATCTGAGTCTGGAGGCTCCACTGAAACCTGGTCAGCATCACAGCAACACGCAAGCCTCCATCCACAGATGGTTGGTGGCTACGCTTCAAGTGCACTGGCCAGGAATGAAATCCAAGTCCCCTGAACTGCCATTGTTTGTAGTTAGGTGTCATGGAATCGGTTCATATCAACCCTCTGCACAACAGAATGAAACACTGCCTGGCTCTGTGTCGTCCTCACAGTTGTTATTACCTTGGACACCATAGCTGCTGCCACTGTGTCAATCTACCTCTTTGGGGTCTTCCTCTTTTTCAATAACCCTTCACTTAACAAAACATGATGTCCTTCTCCAAGGACTGGTCCCTTCTGATAATATGTCCAAAGTATGAGAGACATATCCCCCCACATCCTGGTTTCTGAGGATCATTATGGTTGTATTTCTTCCAACACATATTTGCTTGTTCTTCGGGCAGACCATGGTACTTTTAATATTCTTCTCCAACACCATAATTCAAACACATGATTCTTCTACGATCTTCCTTATTCATTGTCCAACTTTCAACATGCATATGAAGCTATTGAAAATACCATCGCTTCCAAAAACCCTGTGGAATACAGTTCTACTCTGACACACATGGATTGGCTCTCCATGAATTGGGGTTGATTCCATGGCAACTGGTTGGTTGGTGTCTAGTTATTGATGGAGCAGCACTAGGGATGTCCTGCAATATGTGGGTCATTTGTACAGAATGAAGAATTGCTCCATGTCCTAAATCACTTTCCAAAGTCCCTGTGAATGATCATGTAAGCATGGACTGTGCCACCATTTTACCTATTTTTTAACAGAGTAATATTTACATAGTTTTAATACACATAGAATTTTCCAGGAATGCAACTACTGGGTAAACTGAGGGAAGATGATACTTCACTTTTGGAGGACTTCATCAAGCTTCTTTGCTATTTTTGGCCTATCACTGCCCTGGTTGTTGAAGTCTAATTCAATTGGCTTTAATCTATTTGCACTGGGGACTGCCCTGCCTGTGTTGATTCTCACAATACAGCCTTGAACACCCCCTTATTTCACAGGTCTCCTAGAGTTGTCACACCAAAGTGTTTACCTGTTGTTTACGTGTCGGTTTCTAAGCAAGGGTTGGTGAGTTTAAACCCCCATCTTATAGTAAGAAGCCCAATTCTTATCCTACAGAACCACCTCAAGTTTGGGGACCCTGAGGTACCTACTATCTCTGTATAAATTATTCTGCTTTTATTTTCCATATATTCCATCAGAGATGTCCCTAGATGGAACATGATTAAGAACACGACTACACACAAAAAAGTCAGAAGTTCAAGTCCACCCAGAGGCACCTCAGAAGCAAGGCCTGGAGATCTACTTTGAAAACATCAGCCATGGAAATCTCAGTGGAGCAGAGTTCAGATACACGTGGGGTTGTTACAAGTCACAGTAGACTCCCTGGTAACTGATTTTATCAGGGCATTTTAAATATGCTTGTGACTGCGTAAGACACATTTTCTTTGAAAACAGATGTTGTTAACTGCCACTGAGTCCGTTCTGAGTCCTGGCATCCCTATATGCCACAGAGGAGAACTGCTGCACTTAATTTTCTTAGTTGTAATCTTTACAGAAGCAGTTTTCCAGACCTTCTCTTCTGTGGAGATGCTAGGTGGGTTTCAACTGGCAACCTTTGAGTTAGCAACCAATCACAAATCACTTGCACCACCCTACCCAGGCTGCTCAACAGGACACTTTAAAATTGCATTCAGTTTTGTGAAGTTCCATCAAATCAGTTCAGACTCATAGAGACTCAATGCACAACAGAATGAAACACAGTTTGGTCCTGAACTAGCCTCACCATTGTTATGTTTGAGTCCATTGTTGTGAATCTAGGCAAATTGTATCATCTTTGCATTTCATTTCAGGGCATTAGAAAGCAATTGTTAGAAAAAGGGGATACTGGGGCTGAAGGCTATAAAGAATGGCTGACTTTGAAGCTTGAAGTCAGGCTGGGTTCTTGGCTTCCTGGATCTGGACCAATTCCACATCTGCTCCATGATGAACCAGTCCAGAATGAGAAATAGGGGGCAGAGCATTTGTTTTCTTTCTTTCTTTTTAAAGCTTTCATTGTAAATTGGGTGAAGGTTTACAGAGCTGATCAGTTTTCCAGTCAACAATCCATACGCATTTTGTTTCATTGCCCATAGTTTTCACAATGACACATCCTACTTCCTCCCTGTGTTTCCTGTTTCCAGTCCTCCTTCTTTGCTAACGTGAACTTGGTCCTGAGGTAAATGCTGCCCTTCTGGTTGATTATTCTCAGGTTGTGCATAGCTCCCTAGTGTTTGTTGTTGTTGTTAAGTGCCATCGAGTAGTGACCCTTATAGTGTTTCCAAAGATCGGCTGGTGAGTTTGAGTTGCCGAGCTTGTGGTTCAAACCGATCCTGTAATCCAGTGCTTATCCTACAGTGCCCCACACCAGGACTCCTCCCTAGTGTAACTGTTGTTGCCTTTATAGACCTACCGTAGTGCTTGGCTAGGGCAGAGAGGGTGGAAGAACCACCAACCTGAATGGGAAATGACAAAGGACAGCAGGAACATCATAACCCAGCCCCTCTCTCCTACCCGTCTCTCCCCAAAGCCATCCCCGTCTTCAATGGCGCCTCTGGGTGAGTTTGAATTGCCAGCCTTCAGTTAGTAGTCAGATGTTTAACCCTTTGAGCCACCCAGGAACTCCTACAAAAGTACATAAAGGCAACGTAGTTACACACACACATCTGTGGTTAATAACAGCAAGTTCCAGCCACATAATAGTCTTTTCCATCATACAGCAACCAGTATGTATGGGTCAGGAGTTTTCATTCTGGAATATCAACAATGAAGCTTACCAACCATATTTTTCTGCATTCCACAAGCCACCACCACTCCCCTCAAAGCAGCTGCAGTGCACACAGCGGAGATCACTGCAGCAAGCAGAGGGCTGGGCCTTCCAGCCTGTCAACTTGCTTTACTAGATTAGCCTGGCATGTTCTGAACCAACACCTCCTCCTTTCTCCCCCCACCGCCTCTCTAGTCCCCACCTTCCTTCCCCAGTTGGAGCACATTTCCTGGAACAAAAGAGTGTAGTTGAGGAAACTGAGATGGAAACGGCATGAAAAGGATTCATAGTAGAGAGATTTGAAGTGACACTTTTGAGTCTGGAGGGCTTATGACCCTAAGAAGCTAACCACTACATGTCTGCATGTATGTCTATTGAAATTGTCCATTTTAGGGCTATCAGTGAACAACATCAAAGCAGCTACAGGTACCCACATCAAGGAAGTGACTCTGGACACCACAAAATTCCCCTCTGCAGAAGAGTCATGGATTTCTCTCCCCAGAAAATGACCCTGCACAGAAATGATTTTCACAAACCACATCTTAAACCTCTATTCAACTGTTGTTGTTGTGTGTCTTCAAGTCAATTCCTTAGTGATTGTGTAGGACTGAGAAGAACTGGCCCATGGGTTTCCCACACTGTAATCTTTACAGAAACTGTCAGAGCTTTTCTCCTGCAGAGCTGCTCGTGGGTTCAAACTGGCAATCTTTCATTTAGCCACCTCAACCACTGCACCACCAGGGTTCCTACCTACTGAATTCCATAAGGGCAATGCAAAAGAGGTCTGTGCATCTCTCCCTGGCTGGGGGACTAGCCCCACGCACCTGCCAGGGAACTCTCACATTTTCTCCATCTGCCTGAATCCACCAGGACTAGCGACTCGTTACCAGGTGTCACCAAGTGAATTCTGATTCACACATCTCTGTGCATGTTAGAGTAGAATTATGTTCCTTAGGGTTTTCGATGACTGATTTTTCAGAAGTTGATCTCTATGCCTTTCTTCCTTGGGTGGGCTACAACGGTCTAGAGGGGCTGGGAAAAGCATCACAGGTTCAGCTTGCAGATCCTGTATTATTGCATGAGCTGTGTGTGACTTCAAGTTTGTACAGTGACTCTCATGTAAATACCTGCAGGCGACTAGGACGATTCTCTGAAGTCCCCTGGAATAAATATAAACATACACCTACACCTACACACACACACACTCCATACATACACACCACACTATACACAATCACAGACACACGCATTCTCCCAATCTTAGAACAACACAGTCGTATGTGTTTTCCTCCCATCCATTCATTTTAAAGAAGAGTTCGTTCAATTGGAGCCTCCAATCCAGCCACTTCAAGCTCTTGATGCATCACTTACCTCTCGGTGTCAAAGTATGAGTCTATGTAAGAATGTGGGGCCCCCGCCACAGCGAAGTTACTGCTTCCAGTGTCAACGAGGATCTGCAGCTTTTATTTAAAAGAGAAAAAAATAGAAACCATTCAGTTAGCTGAAAAGGCTAAAATGCTCTTGAAAAAGTCTTTAAAAACTAAGTACCAAGAACAAGTTACCAGTTAGAAGGAACTTATACCAAATAGGAAAAATCAATCAGCTGCTAAAGAATTGAAATCTAAACACAGTACATTATTAAGAAGCTTGCATTAAGGAAAGTAAAACTGTTTTACTTTAGAAACACATTGAGCTTGTATCTGCTCACAAAAATTTCAAAAGAAAATAAATTCCGTTAAATAACCAAGGATTTTTTTTTTTAAGTCACTGTTAATTGCTAAAAAGTCCTTTCTTAATTTTGGGATTTACCCCCTGGGTATTTAAATCTCTCTTTTTAAAAAAAAAAAAAAAATCTGTTAGCTGCTATCTGTCAAATCATGGTGATCCCAACAGAACTAATCTTTTCCCTGTCCTGTGCTGTCCCCATGACTAATTGTGGATTGGACCACTGTGATCCATACAGGGTTTTCATCGACTAATATTCAGACCTGACTAATATTCAGGTATTTCTTCCTAGTCTTAGTTTGGGAACACCACTGAAATCTATTTAGTACCAGAGCAACACATAAGCCTGCTCAAGACAGATGGGTGATGCTTGTACATGATGGTGCACTGGCCAGGAATCAAAACCACAGCCCCTCCTTTTTATCTGGTTGATGTTAGGTGCCATTGAGTCAGTTCTGAGTACTGGCAACCTTATGCATAACAGAATCAAACACTACCCAGTCCTGACCGTTTTCACAGTTATTGTTATGTTTGAGTCCACTATTGTTGTCACCATGACAATCCATCTTGTTGAGGTCTTCCTCTTTTTCTCTGGCCCTCCACTTTTCCAACTTTGATACCTACTGTTGTTGTAATAAAGTGCCATTGAGTTGATTCTGACCCATAGCGACCCTGTGTAGGGTTTCCAAGAAGCAGCTGGTGAGCTTGAACTACCGACAATGCAGTTCAAGCGGCTTTGCAGTCTGACACATTAGTCCACAGTGCCACACCAGAACTCCTTGATAACTACCTACCTAACTATAAATTTTACCTATTGTCTGGCAGTATCATCCTTGCATTAAAGAAGATGAGATGAATGCACCTAAATCTTCAGGAATACCTGCTCTTCCCCAGCCTCTCAGTATGTGAATACTGTTGTTTTTATGTTCTCAACGTTTAACATACCTCCCATAGTTTAGACTTTGTTCTGTGAGGAAATCATCTCTCTCTCACACACACCCACTAGTTCTTGAATATAGATTTCTTCACCCAACACTCAGAGGACTAGAATTTTTTTTTTTTATGTGGGTTTACATGGGAGAACATCAGTTTTACATTCATCCTATTGTATTTTGTTTCATTGCAATGATTACATTCCCCTCCATGCATCATCAAATAACCAAAGGGTACACTCCACAGGCCCGCTCCCTAGTCATCAGCACACATCCCCTCTCCCTCTCTGAGTCCAGTGTCTCCAGCCGCTCCATGTGTCCACATCATCTTCTCTGTCTCCATCCCTGGAGTCTCTGCCTCTTTGGGTAGGGTCATACTCTCAGCAATTCTCATTTGATGGTTCCAGGGACCTTAGCTCCTGGGCTGCAAAATCAATCATTACCCTTCTTTTGTCAAAAAACATCTACCTCTACATTTCCGACCCTCACAGTCAGTTCTGAGGGCAATTATTCACTATTGTACCACAAGAGTCTTATCCCCATTTCCTTTCGCCAGCCCGGTCCCAACAGATTGGAAATCATTCAGTGGAGGGTCTACCTACTCCTGCCCCGTCTGGAACTAGACTCCCTCTTGAAAGCTTGTTTGTAAGCCAGTCAATTCTTGCCTTTATCCCCCCAATTTGGGAAGCAGCTTTGTTCAAGCTGCTTATCCCTGCCTGTCAACCCTGTTTACTGAGGGGGTGGGAGTGATCCTTGCTGTAAAGATTTGTTCCCTTTGTTGTGCTATGACTGACATCCATATGTATAGGTAAAGTTCATCAAATTGTAGTGGGTTACTCTTTTTTTTTTTCTTCTCTCTTCTTTCTTCTTCTAGTGGAGTTCTGATCATTCAGCCATAAAAGCCAGGTCAAGTGGGTGCTATCTGCAAGAATGGGTGTTCTTGTGCATCTCCCCTCACTTCATATCACCTGAATGCTTCACTCTCTGCTCTAGTCCTCTGTGGTCATGTCACTGCCTCTGGGTCCAGGAGTCCCCAAGTCTTGCCTTACTGCTGGCCACCCAGGTCTCCGCCCGGGTTCACAGGAATCTATTAAATATGGTCGGACTTAGATCCCAACTTCATTACTGTTTTTTCCCCCTCCCCCTTATAAATGACCAACGGCAGCCAGACCACATGCCTGCTTGTGTATTCCCCTTGAGTCTTAGACTTGGAAGGGAGTTTGCTCTGAGGGGATCCAACTACTTGCCTTGATGGCTCCCGGGTGAACAGCTTCCTAGTTCTTGTAGTAATCAATTAGACTGCAATGATTGTTTCTGATTTTTCCTGCTCGCCTTTCTTCATGAAGTATCTTCTGTTCTTCTAGCTACTCCCGGATGATCTACTCATATTTTCCAGTGGAAATTTCCCACCTTAGACAATTCTGGATGGGGTTCTGGTTTCCACCTATGGTCTTATGCAATGTAAAAGCTCCATAAAAGGCCTCTTTCACTGGGCAACTTCTAGCCCCCTTTAAGGCATTCTAATCTGTTATAGGATGAAGACCGATTTATACCCTTTCTATGGTGATGTTTCTTGCTATTCCTTATTCCCCACCTCAAGTGTCTATTTCACAATGGTAGGCAAAGGAAACCAAGATTCAAAAGACAGCGAAGCACCTTAACATTATTCCCCTTTTACCCATTCAAACCATGTCTCAATCCCTGTATCCCAGAGCCCTGATGCTCGAAGATTGTGCATACATCATTTACCTCTGTCCCACTTAGCCCATGCGAACCTGCCTAATTGTTCTCCCATCCACCTTGTTCTTCCATTCCCCTCTCCCTTCTTGTATATTGCCCGCACATCCCACAGCACCCAAGCTATCCTGTGTCTATTCCCTACCCTGTGCTCTATCTTCCCCTCCCCCTCACTCCCCTCCTTTCAT